AGGTGTGCATCTATCCTTGCCCAACTTGACCCCTTGACCATGGCATCCTTCTGGATCGGCTCAGAGGATTGGGGGTGGGCGGCACTGTGTTGTGCTGGTTCATCTCCTTTCTCCAGGGCAGATTCCAGTTGGTGGTGGTTGGGGAGGAGAGATCCCGCCCTTGGCCCCTGTTATGTGGTTCGGTATCCCTCCCCTATTTAACATCTACATGAGGCTGCTGGGTGACCTCATCTGTCACCATGGGATGAGGTATCAGTATACATCTCTGCCCCTGGTGAAATAAGCAATGTTGTGAATGTCTTATCCTGGTGCCTGGAGGCTGTGAGGGTCTGGGTGGGGAACAACAGACTTCAGCTAAACCCTGGCAAGACTGAGTGGCTTTGGATTCTGGGGCCTTCTGGTTCTAGGACTATGCTGTATGGGGTGGCACAATCTGGGGATCCTCCTGAACTCACAACTCCTGCATGAAGAGCAAGCAGCAGTCATGGCTAGGAGGACCTTTGCATAGCTTCATATTGTGCGCCAGTTCCTAGATCGGGGGGCTCTACTCATTGTCACTCATGCCCTAGTCACCTCCTGTTTGGATTTCTGTAATATGCTCTACTTGGGGCTGCCCTTGAAGAGTATCCAGAAGCTTCAGCTGGTGCAAAATGCAGTGGCGCGGGCAGTTACGCGTGCCCCTAGAGTAGTATGTGTTATACCTCTGCTCCGCGAGCTGCACTAGTTCCCAGTTTGCTTCTGGGTCCAATTCAAGCTGCTGACTTTGACCTTTAAAGCCCTTCATGGCATGGGGCTGGGTTATCTGAGTGACTGACTCTCCCTTGATCACATTTGCCCACCCCATCAGGTCTGGCAGAGGAGGCATGCCGCATGTCCCGTCTGCCAGAGAATTACATTTGGCAGGTCCCAGGAGGCGGGCCTTCTGTGCTGTGGTGCCCGCCTTGTGGAATCTTCTCCCCCCCCATTAGTGAGATTAGCTCCATCCCTCTCAACATTCCACAAGTCCCTCAAGGCCTGGCTGTGTGATCAGGCCTGGGGCTCCCAGGGGACTGGGGAGATTTTGCGATGGCTCCCTTACTGCGGTTAATATCATCCTCTTGTTTGTGTCCTTTTTATAATTATTTTTAAATTGTGACTGGTTTTATGTATTTATTGTTTTTAATTAAGCATTGTATGCCACCCAGAGTCACTTTTATGTGAGAGGCAGCTATATAAATATGATAGATAGATAGATAGATAGATAGATAGATAGATAGATAGAT